AAAAAAAAAAAAAAACATCTCCTGAGCATCCATTCTTTTCCAAGTTCTGGAAAAAGTGAAGAAGAGACCTATGCCCTGTACCTGGGTTCTCACAGTCGACCAGGGGAAACAGAATTATAACAAATGACCAACCTACACTGAGCTAAGCTTATGACAGAATAGTATGAAAGGTACAGAGAAAACAGAGATATTTTACTCTCAATTTTGGGGTCATGGATGCCTTGGAAAAAGTGTTGAGTTGAAGTATTTGTGAGATTTTATCCAGAGATATTCAGAAGGAACTGAACACTGGGTCTGGGGATCTATAAAAACATGAGGGCTGAAGACATTATTTTGAAAAACATCATTGTTATCCACCCTTAGGTAATGGAGAAATGTGTAGATGAGTATTTTGCAAAGCCCGTAACTTGGACTAATAGTCTCATGAGATGCTTTGGAGAAAATGGAACTAGGATTAGATAAAATAAAGGAATACCATATGCATTACTCCCTCCTTGGGAAACTTGTAAATGACATTAACATGTTAAAAGTGCTGATAATTCTTACATTTGGGCAGGATAGAGGAAGAGAACCAGAAGATGTTTATTAAGGAAGCCAAAAGAACAAAAAATTGCAAGAAGATAGATATGACGATCATTTGTATCAATCCTGGAAGTCCCAAAAGTTAAGAACTGGCAGAGAGACTGTCTTACTCAGTTTGTTGTTCCAGGACCCAGCAGAGACCATGGCATATTTTATGAATATTTAGCAGATTAATCAGCGAATAAAAACATGTAATTCCTCATGCGATCCCACTTAACATTCTACTAAATGCCTATAAAGATAGAGAAAAAATGGCAATTATACAAACAATTCAGATAAAAGAACATCATTCCATCTGAAGAAAGTTTCATAAAATACACGTAGTATAGAAGCATGTTCTTAGACTCTATAGCCGTGATTCTCAGTAGAAAGAAGGGAGGGCATTTTTGCTCCCCAAAGAACACTTAGCAACTTCTAAAGACGTTTTTGGTTGCCACACTCTACTTGCATCTACTGGATAGAGACCAGGAGACTGCTAAACATGCTGCCAGGACAGCCCCACAGCCATGAATATTCCAGTACAAAATGTCTGTGGCACAGCAGTGGAGAAATCCTGCTCCACAGTGTACAATACAGCCACACATGCAGAGCAACAAGGATGAGTCCAAATCCGGGGTAGCAAAAGCCTTTGATTTACTCTTCTTTGTCTGATCCAAACTCTGGCCACAAAAATTACACAGATCAGAAAAAACATCTGACTTTTTTTTTCCGGCTGCCAAAGATCATTTTTTAAGACAGCCAGAGCCTCGCCATTTATCTGTTCTAGGGCTTCTACCCACAAAGCTCTCAGAGGTATATGTCGGGGAGCACTGACTGAGATGCCTTTCCCCTCAAAAAAAAAATACTAAGCCCATCCTTTCCAGACTAATCACCGTTAGACACAAACATCCTAAGATCCGTGCAAATCAATCTGCCTTTGGTTCTAGAGCCAAAGGATGGCAGGGTCTGGACTTAGGGGAAGAGCAATCCAGGTTAATGGAGACAAGAAAACATGTTTTGGAAAATACCAGGTCTGGATGAATCTACATCTGTGAAAGAATGATAAAGAGAGAAAGCCAGTAGGAAAAAGAAAAGGTAATGTTTAATAAACTAGGCTTGATGTCTTCAAAAACATGAAGAAGGAAATGGCCTCTGGAGTAAGACAGCAAAGATAAACGGTATTAGGTAAGGGCAGAGACAAAGCAATCTGACTAAAATAATGAAAACAAAAAATGCAAGAAAAACCCCAGAGCAAGAGTGGAACTAAAGTTCCCATTACAAACAGTAAAAATGGATATGACCAAATCCAATTGGTAATAACGATAGCAGATTTGAGAACCCTTAAATCCAAAGGTAAAACACATAAACCAAAGTGACAGGAAAATGTATAGACATGGGAGGAAAGGAAATGAAGATCTAATGCAAGACAACTCGGACATAACTAAAAGAAACTAACAGAAAAATCTGCCTAAGGTGAGAAAGAAAACCAAATTTACAGCTCTAAAAGCTTCACTAAATATCAGGTTAAAAATACTAAAACAAGACTCATTCTGGAAATAGGGGAAATCTGAGATTATATAATGATATATAGATGCTGAAAGCATCAATGAAAAGGGAATCATTTGCCTACAAAGGACTAAAGATCAGGCTGACATTAGACTTCCTGAATCATACTAAAGACCACAGGAAAACAGAGCGGGATGCCTACATAGGTGCATATCTGTGAAAAGTAATAAGAGAAAATATACCAAAACAGAATTATGGTGAGAAAATTTTGCTTGCCTTATCTGTGCAAAGTAAGTATATAAAAGCATAAGAAAATACATGATTTTCATATCTTAATAAACAAAATTGAATTAACAGTTGTACATTGAAAAGAATAATTCTTTTCCAATATTAAGTATTACTGATATTTGTATACATTATATTTTAATCATCATGTCCGTCCCCTCTGTTTGTAATGACCTCACCCCTTCTCTCCTTTTTCCAGCTCAGTTGCAGTGTTGTTTTGGTAAATCAGTCCTCTGAGGAAAAAAGAAAGTCCTGATTTGCCAATTTCCATGGTGTTGATATTCCCACCATGGCCAATTTCAAGCTGCCAAAGGTTTAACAACCAGCTGTCAAGATTCCTGAATATTTAATCATGGAGCTGGGAAGATCCACCTGGATCGTACCACAGAGGCCTGTTACCTTCTCTGATGAAGTAGCTCCCCGTTCGCCACATTTCATTATAGCCAGGGAGGTGGGATTTGGCCGAGAATCTGGAGTCTTTAACAGAAAGTCTCCTGGCTTTTCCATACTAAGATGGAAAAGGTCCTTGGAAAAGACCAGCAAATACGCATTTTATTGCTGGCGTTTGACCTCAAACCTTGGAATGGAATCCCAAAGTCCGGTAAGCTAGAATGGAGCCCAAATGAGTCACAAAACTCTTTGTGAATCCCAGGCCTAGATAAATATGTGTCAAATATTTACTTTTGCTCCTTTCCCTAAACACACAAGCTAAGTTTAACATCTGTCCATCTTAATAGTGCGATAAAGCCCAGAAAGATCATTTCAAGGCCTAGAACAGCAAACCAACGCATCCCGTCAAGTATTCCTGGACTGCAGACTTCATTCTGATTACTAGTGGGTTTCTGAGGAGATTAGAAAAGGAAACACGTTTTCAAAGGAGAGAAGACGTTGGATCCCTGTATGATACTGACATAGAAGGAGAGAAGCCCAAATCCCAACAAACTTGAAAGCATTTGCAAACATCTGAGATTCTAACTCCTTTGCTCATCACACCCAAAGTTCTGTCCTTTGTACCCCTGGCACCATGCCGTCTCTGAGGAATTCCTGTTGTCCCTGATCTGAAGCAGTCAGGCCTCTAGGTGGGATGGAGGGATGACTGGTGTGGGTAGAAAATAGCCTTGAACTCTTACTAGAGGCTGGTAGTCGCTCTGGCAGGGTTCAGCAAACTTTTGCTTAAAGGGCCAGGTAATAAATATTTTAGACATACAGACAGTCGTCTCTGCAGAGACTAAAGCTGCATAGTTCCTGTTTCATAACAATTACGTTCTCTCCATTTTAAGTAGTGCTATGTCAGAAAAGAAAAAAAAATATTAATAATGATATTGAGTAGAACCTCAGTATTTTGATCATCCCACCAAAATCAACACAAAGATAAGAACGACAGGATTGCAAGAGTCACCATTCTCTTCAACGTTGTAAAACAGCAATATTTACAAATTCGCCTCATTGTTAACCTAGCAGTTAGGACCACCAGTTTTGGACTGAAGAAAGCCAAGCAAACGTTTTCGTGTTATATCAGCACCTTAAATGATGTACCGTATGGGATTCTATTTTTAATGCGCAATCTGTGAAAGCAAGATTTATTTAAATTAAACTTT